TCCAATCAGGGGCTGTTACCCACAAGGTATAGATAGGCCTGGATGGGCCATTGGCCCGATCCAACATTGGCTTCTCTTATGTTCTTATGAGAGCACCAGACTACTTGCTGTTCTGTCGCTGTCCTCGACCAAAAATCCTGGCGGAACATCTCTGCCTTACAAGCCCTGCGGAAAGGTAATAAATCCTGCAGGGCACGGAAGTTCTCCGGCAGAGAGTTCCACCGGGGGGAGCCAGGGCAATGAACAACAAGGTCCCATAAATACAGCAATCTCATAAATTCACATAAATACATAGTTACGTAAAAACCATTAAATGATCTATAATACAGTTTGATCATTTCCCAGAATTCACAAGGCACCATAATGCAGTTCTAATCCCTAGTTTGCTTTAATTTAGGGGGGGGGGGGGGGAGCAGAGTCAATTGGTAGGCCGATGATTTGTTGGAAACTATTACCAATAATTGATGTTAAAAGCCATTGATGTTAAAAGCTGTTGCTGTCCTCAACCATATGCTTTTTTTAAAAAAAAATAATTTTTATTAAATGAATATAAAACAATTGATACAAACGGAGAATCTCAAACAATACAAACTATTTAACATTAATATAGTCTTGATATTCTATTCAGTGTATCTATCTAAAACGTAACTATTTAAAACTCTTAACGTGTTTTCTAATAATGCAGTTGGGTTAGCAACCATCATATAAATGCAAGAGTTTGAGTTCCACTAGCTAGTATTCACTGATCAAAACTGAAACGTACTCTAAAGTCTGGGGTTTATAGAATAAACACTTCAGATGAAACTAAGCGAACAGGAACAGTTCCACTCTGTGCCACGAAACTTATGGCTGGGAACCATCTTTCAACAAAAGTTGATCGATAGTTTTTATGTTCAAATTGTAACGGTCTATTTGTGATTTTTTCTAAAATGTAACAATCCCATATCTTAGACATCCATAATGGTACTGAAGGCGGCGATTTGTTCTTCCACTTTGAAGCTATGCTTGATGGAACATCTCTGCCTTATAGGCTCTAAGGAATCGTAGCAGGTCCCGCAGGGCCCTGATGTTAGCAGGCAGAGAGTGCTACCAAGTTGGGGCTGAGGACAGCCGGATGCTCTTTGGGCCAAGGACTTCCAATAGATGTTTCTCAGTTGAGTGTAAGGCTCTCCGGGGGACGTACCAGGAGAGGTGGTCCCGTAGATACACTGTGTCAGGTTCCACGGCCAAACAAAGGAGTACACGCTTTAATGTAAGAGCTATAGAGGCAGTAACATCGTCACTGTTAGGAATGGCTACTTTCCTACACGCGGGACTCCCGCACGCGGGAGAATGGGGGCCCAGGCCGTTAAAGCCAAAGCTGGGAATCGAAACTTATCCCACAGGTAAATGATGGGAAGACACTACACAGGCAACTTGCAAGGTCAAAGGTAATAAAGAACGGAAGGAATGCGGCAGCAGTTGGTACACAGGTCAAGCAGATGCACTCTTGTCCATAAACATCATGGCAGCATAGCTGACACACTGGTCCCTGACAGTTTAGGGCAGGGGTGTCAAACATGCGGCCCGGGGGCCGGATCAGTTCCCTGGAGGGCTTCTGTCAGGCCCGTAGTAGAACTGGCAGTCTTCTGCTTCTTCTTCCAGTCCTGCTGGTGCTGCATCATCGTAGGTTTGCAGATACACACCTGAACAGCATACTCATTTTGATGCAGTAATTCAGAGCAAGAGGTGTCAGTTATCAGACACTGTTAAATAAACAAAATATTGCAAAGAGTTTTAAGCATGTTTTTATTCTAAGTAAAAAAACCCTTTGTGTTGGTGTCCTTTATAAAGTTTATATCTCCACTACCTGGCGTTACAGTTTATGACACACATGGCCTGGCCCAACAACATCTCATTTATGTCAGATCCGGCCCTCATAATAAATGAGTTCGACACCCCTGGTTTAGGGCATTAAACCAAGAACTTGAATCTGACCCGGTACTCAACTTGGAGCCAGTGCAGCTGGTGCAATACAGGTTGTATGTGTGCTGTTAACCGGTGTCCCCCTAAGGACCCATGCCGCTGCGTTCTGGACAAGCTGCAGTTTCCGAATCAGCCCTGTGGGCAGCCCTTCAAACAGAGCTATGAACTAGTGCAAACCCTCCCCATCCATCTAGCCTGCTGAATGAACACCAGTAAAGCTGTTTTGGGGTAGGAGTTCTTTGTTTTGTTCTTAGAACTCTCCTTGAGGCAAAAATACAGAACAGCATAACTGCCTTTGTCACTCTTGCGGTGGTACATTTGGAGAGCCAGTTTGGTGTAGTGGTTAAGTGCGCGGACTCTAATCTGGGAGAACCGGGTTTGATTCCCAACTCCTCCACTTGCACCTGGCTGGATGACCTTGGGCAAGCCATAGTTCTGTCAGAGCTGTTCTTGAAAAATAGCAGTTTCTGTCAGAGCTCTCTCAGCCCCACCTACCTCAGAGGGTTTCTGTTGTGGGGAGGGGAAGGGAAAGGAGTTTGTGAGCCGCTCTGAGACACCTTTGGGTAGTGAAGGGTGGGGTATAAATCCAATCTGTTCTTAGCTCTGCGCCGGGGGTCCTCCCGCCCCGCATGCTTGTCTTGATTTTTTCCCCTGGCTTCTGTTGTGTCTGTCTTGAATTTTGTCTTACATTTTGCAGGATGATGATGAGGATGGAGGGGAGGAAGAAGATGAAGACGATGGCTTCTTTGTGCCCCACGGCTACCTTTCAGAGGACGAAGGTGTAACTGAAGTAAGCCCTGGCATCAGCCAGCACACATATCGCTGGAGTATTCCCATGTAGCCTGCGCAAGGAAGATTTTCCCACCAGGCCTTAGGTAGTGCTAACTTGCCAGTACATACAGCCCTGCAGAGCAGGCTGACCAATCCTGCAAGCCGGCACGGTTGCCTCTCTAAAACAAAACACAAGACAGACTTCGGCTGCGATCACACACACTCAATAATCCACTTTCAATCCACTTTCAAACTGGATTTTGCCAGTTCACACAGTAAAAATCCAGTTGGAAAGTGGATTATTGAGTGTGTGTGATCATAGCCTTAGATTAGCCGTCTCAACACCGGGTTCGCTTGCATTTCTTGTTCTCTCTCAAAGACCAAGCTGGGCACAATTGAAAAGTTACAACGAAGAAAATTCAGTGTTAAAAATTGTTCAGTTCGTTCTGACTAAACCAGAAAAGGCTCTTTAGTGACTCACAGTGCAGCCAACATTAATAGCTTTAAGGCAGATAAACAATGACAAACGAAACATTAATTGAGTAGTCTTAGATAAAAATACACAAAACTCACCAGCTACTTCTGTTCTCTAGGCATAAATACTGCCTTCAAACTTTCATCCTAATGGACAAGGTGACAGATTAAAAGATAGCCAAAAGGGGAACACTAAAGCCATTTTCTGTGTCTGAAATTATAGGCTTGTGAGTCTGGACTAATAACTCATTAGCCAATCAAAAGGCAAAAGAATTTGCTGATTAATCCTTCCAGTTTTCTTGAGAACAAAATCTCCAAGAACAACCTTGGAGAGGAGAACTGCTTGCTTCCCTTAAGGTACAGGCGGTTATTTTTCAGGGAATTTAACACCTGGAGGGGCTTCTCCAAATTAGCCCCTGCCCACCAGGTTTTAACATAGGGTTCCTGATCTTTACGGTTCCCTTCTCTCATTTGCTCTCTGGTTTTCACCCAGCGGTCTGAAGGCTCTTTCGGTCAGAGGGACACACTGAATCTGCATGTTCGTGTTCTGTTTTTGGACATCCTGGGTTGCAGCACAACCCTGAGTGTGACATAGGGGCCACTGGCCAAGAAGCCTGTAAGCAGCCTGCTTGCAGAAGGCATGTTACTTCCTCCCAAAAGAGCCCTGCCTCACCTCGTTGGGCACCCAGAGCGTGGATCGTCGGTGATGATGACCTAGAGAGATAGACTGGATGCTGAAGCTGCGCCTAGGCTGATGAGGGCTTTGTGGTAAGGTTTACACACAATATGGAGCTGTGGTGGCTCAAGTGGTTAAGACGCTGAACTGCAGGCTGTGGAAGGTCGGTAGTTCAGCAGTTCGAGACCCGAGTGTGCCGCATGATGGAGTGAGCTCCCGTCTCTAGTTCCAGCTCCTGCCAACCTAGCAGTTCGAAAGCACGAAATTGCAAGTAGATAAATAGGTACCACTTTGGTGGGAAGGTAACAGCGTTTCGTGCGCCTTGGTGTTTAGTCATGCCAGCCACATGACCATGGAAACATCTTTGGACAGCGCTGGCTCTTCGGCTTGGAAACTGAGATGAGCACCGCAACCCTAGAGTCGGATTCGACTGGCTTTTGAGCAAGGGAACCTTTACCTTACACACAATATCTTAGGAGTGAGTGTCTTTCATGCAAAATCCGTGCTTCTCTCACTGCTCTCTCAGGGCGGATCTGAGCATTATGTTCAAAGCATGTGAAATACAGTATTTATTTATTTAATTCAATTTATATCCCGCCCTCCCTGCCGAGACAGACTCAGGGTGGCTTACAGTAAAAAAAATTTAAATACATTAAAACACCAATGCATCAACACAATGCAGAATCATATAACAGCTAACACATGAGAATAAGTGCAAATAACATGCTGGTGGCGGTAGTTTTGCCTCCTGATCCCTCTAGGCCATGATATGATGGTAACAACGAAATATGACCAGAGGCCGTAGCAGTTGGCATCACAGGCGGCTGCTGTTAACATAGAGGGCCTTGCCCAAGTTCAGTTGGTAGCGGCTCCTAAACAAAGGCCTGGTGGAAGGGCTCCGTTATACAGGCCCTGCAAAACTGTAAAAGGTCCCACAGAGCCCTAGTGTCTTCCAGGAGCTCATTCCACCAGTATGGAGCCACGACTGAGAAGGCCCTGGTGGAGGCCAGTCTGGCATCTTTCAGTCCAGGGTGCTCTCTGGGGAACATACAGGGAAAGGCGGTCCTTCAGGTTGGCAGGCCCCAGACCATACAGGGCTTTAAAGGTCAGAACCAGCACCTTGAAGCGAATCCGGTATGCTATCGGCAGCCAGTGCAACACCTTCAGCACAGGCGGGATTGTGCTCGAGCATAGGGAGCCCCATCAGCAGCGTGGCTGCTGCATTTTGCACCAGCTGCAGCTTCCAGATTTGCGACAAGGGCAGCCCCATGTAGAGAGCATGGCAGTAGTCTAATCTCGAGGTGGCCATTGCGTGGATCACTGTTTCCAGATCATTGCATTCGAGGAAGGGAACCAGCTGCCTAATCGACTGAACAGTAGTTCTTCCCGGGCCGTGGTGATGGTAGAAAGTGCTAACCAACTCATGGCAACCGTGTAGGGCTTTTGAGGCAAGAGACGTTCAGAGGTGGTGTGCCACTACCTGCCTCTGCATAGTGACCCTGGACTTTGTTGGTGCTTTCTGTCTTTGATTTTTAAGGTTCTATATGCCATTAAAGGTTTATTGATTGATTGACTTTGTTGGTGGTCTCCCATCCAAATACTGACCATGGCTGACCCTGCTTAGCTTCTGAGATCTCATGAGATTGGGCCAGGCTGGGCCATACAACTTGGGCCATACAACTTCAGAAAGCATGTGGGGGATTATGTGTCAGTATGCCCCCCCCAATAAAATGCCTCCATGTGTGACTGTAGCCTAGCCCAGGGGTGTCAAACATGTGGCCCAGGGGCCAGATCAGGCCCGCAGTGGAACCGGCTGTCTTCTGCTTCTTCTTCCAGTTCTGCTGCTGCGTCATTGTAGGTTTGTAGCTTACAGATACAAACCTGAACAGCATACCCAAGATTGCAACAGCACAGACATTTCAATGCAATCATTCAGAGCAAGAGGTGTCAGTGATCAGACACTGTTAAATAAAGAGAAAATGGCAAGAGGGCTAATGTTTTAAGCATGCTTTTAAGTTAAAAAAACCCCAACCCTTTGTGTTTGTGTCCTTTATAAAGTTTATATCGCCGCTACATGGCATTACCTTTTATGACACACATGGCCCGGCCCAACAAGGTCTCATTTATGTCAGATCCGGCCCTCAGAACAAATGGGTTCGACACCTCTGGCCTAGCCCCATCTCGCTGATGTAAAAACTTTTCCTCACGCATGGCATTTGTTGTTGTTGTTGTTGTTAAGCTTGGGGGAGAATCCTGAACATGCATTTCCTATACGTTGAAGTGGAACGATCCAGGAGAAGGGGACTGCTTGTACATCTTTACATTGGTCCTGCGCAAGCGTAGACCTGGAGGATGCTCGCAGCCCAGATGCCATTGCAAGCTCAAGTCTGGGCATTCCCTTTTTCTTCTCACACCTCAGTCTGTTTGGAGACAGCCCTTCTTGTA